AATAGCATTGCTAATCACCAGTTGTGAGGCAATATAGAAAAGGTATAATTTTAATATTTAATATTCAGACCAATCTGGCTTCATAGTATTTTCCCCATTCCCTTTAGGTTCAGCTAAAAGTCCTATGAAACACAGAGAAGCTTGAAATTCAGAGGTAAAGTCAAATCAGCTAGGGACCTCATTGCCTGAGGACCCACACACTGATGAGTTTGTTAGGTTTCCCTTTGGGCTCATGTACCCACGGATGAACCCAAAATGCCAGTGGAGCAAACAAAAAGATATAAGGAAAACCCTCCACTTCTAGCCAAACAGTGGAGAGAGAGAAAAAAATAATCTATGACAAAAATGTTTGAACAAGCTTCATCCTCTCCCGACAAAGAACCATAAACATGGCAGCAGCTCCATCATCCATCAGTCCTGTGCACAACAGCCCAAGAGAAATATTCTACTCAGCTTTGGTTTGATATGTGATACTTGACCCACACTCAGCCATTTATGTGTTGGAGATTTGGTTTATGTAACAATGTGATATGTGATGGGAGCAATAACAGGTAGGCATAACATTTAAATATTCACTCTTATACAACAATACCCAACATTGTCAAAATGTCAATGATCATACCAAGAATCAGAACATTTCTCAACTCAAATAATAAATTAGAATCATCAGTAATATGGCACAGAAGTAATATGGAACAGATAGAAATTATCTGATAATGACTGTAAAGCAGTCAATACAAAATTTTTTCAACAAACAAATCATAACTTGCTTAAAACGTGTGAAAAACTGAGCCGAGAATGCAGCTCAGTTGATAGAGTGCTTGCTTAGCATAGATGATGTTCTATCCCCAGCACCACATAAAACCAGCATAGTGACTCATATGTAAAAGCTCAACATTCAGGAAGTAGAGGTCAGGTGTTCAAGTTCATCATCAGCTACACAGTGAATTCAAGGACAGCCTGGCCTACATGATACTCTGTCTCAAAGACCAAATATACAGGCTAGAGACATGGCTCAGCAGTTAAGGGCACAGGCTGCTTTTCAAGAGGACATGAGTTCACTTCCCAGCACTCATATGGCTGTTAACAACTGTCCATAACTCCAGTTCCAGGGTATTTGATACCATCTCTGGCCTCTACAGGCACTGCACACATGTGGTGCATTTACATGCAGGCAAAACAGCCATATACAAAAAAATAAAAGATAAATGAAGACCAAACAAAATAAAAACTTAAACATACAAAAAGAAAAATATAAGAAGTAATAGGAAACAAATGTAAGCTATAAAGAGGAGTGCTCACTTTGGCAGCACATACATTAAAATTAGAATCATATAGAGATTAGCATGATCCCTGCACAGGGATGATGTAACAATTCATGAAACCTTCCACATTTTTCTCTCTTAAAGAAAGAACCAATTGGAAGTTCCAGGATTTCAAAGTAAAGTGTAAATTGGAAGAAAACCTTCATTAGCTTGATATTGGAGAGGACTGAGGAAATAATTAGTGAATCAGAGCAATAAAAACAAAGAGAAATTGCACTGAAAGAAAAGTGTAAAGAGTTTCAGACACTTGCAGAACTGTAACAAAAGACACTACATTTGCATATCAGAACTCTCTTCTCTAAAGGCAAAGGGGGTAGTAAGTAATTTTTGGTAATATTATTTATACAAATACTGGGTAAAAGAGATTCCAAAATAGTAGGAAATATAAATAACTTCATTAAAGACAAGAAGACATATATAATGGTCAAATGGAAATTACACAACCAAAAAAAGTATCAATCTAAGCAATAAGTTTATGTTTGTACAAATAGGCTAGGTGTCAGGACAGGAGATCAGTGAATGGATATTTTGTACATAGAAAATACTGAGGTTGAAGCAAAAAAAAGACAAAGTTTGACTTTTAAAAATAAATGCATAAGATACACTCAAATTGAAAGGAGAAGAGCTAACATTCTCGTAAGCCCATTAAAAGAACAAAAGAGAAACGCATATACGGTGCCTGAATATTTGTCTATACGTATACGTGGGGGCTGTATGGCAAGGAACAGAAGTGTCAGCAAGACAGGAGAGACCTCCCTTTGAGTGGTTGGTCACTGTGGTCCAAGAGACTCCCCAAATAACACAGGCTATTGCCAGAGCTCTTGATTATATCCCCAAACTGGAAGATAAGACCCTGCTGCTGAAGGCAGGACATACTTCAGAAATAGGACTCAGAGAAATGGAGCAGGAACTGACCTGGAAGTATTCTACCTGACACTTAACTCCCATAGCTCTGGAGGATATTAAGCTACTATGGGAGAAAATCAATCAATGATCAACGTAGCGTTAAATCCTAATAACCATAACCAGTCTACTGGTGTGGTACTGGCACTGTTATCTGGCTGTCAACAGCTATCTAATTAGACTTAAAGCCCTCTCAATGGGAGTGAACTCACGGGTGGCACTGTAAACACAGCCAAATACACATGGCTGGATAGATCATAGAGTCTAGAGAAAATCCTATCTCTATCATATCTCTATACAAATGAAATCTCTTACTATATGCTAAACATGGATCCTTATATTCCCAGACAAGTATACAGCACACCACTCATTAAAGAAACTTCCTTTTTGCAACAGATAGAAACTACTGCAGAATCCCACAACTGATCAGACACAGAGAGAGATGTCTGAGAGATTCCTTGTCTTAGGTCCTATCTACAGTTGAACCTCTACACCTAAGGCTCATGGAACATAGTGGGGGGGTGCGTAGAGAGAAAACTAGTGCATCCTTCACCTCTCACCAGTGAAACTCCTTATACAATAGAGTGGGATGCACACAAAAGGTCACAACTGGCAGTCAACTTTTATAGAATAGGACTACAAAGTGTGGGTTCCTGGATAGGACTCCTATATCAAATCTCTCCCTCCAATGGCTAAGGGATCATTGAGAAAGAGGCCTGGAAAGATTGTAAGAGCCAGGAATGCTCCATGATCATAAGGAAGAAGAGGCTTTCAGGCCACTGAAAACTTTCGCATGTAAAGTTTTGCAGTTATGACATTGGGCATGGGACCCATGCCAACTGAATCAAACAAGGACCCAGAGTGGAGTGAGGGAAATGGGTGGCAGGTCAGCCCTAGTCTAGGAACTATTGGAGACTGATCACTACTGGGTGAGGGACAGTAGGCCTTATCAACAATCTCTAGACAGGTTGACTAGACTCCAGTGGATGAATTTGCACCAAAGAACATCTGGATACAAATGTTCTGCTGGATAGGACTTAACATGTATAGCAGAGTACATGAAGTTTGGTGGGGGATGGGAGTGGGCAGGCATGTATGGGGGAGGGACTCTAAATCTAATTAAGAAATGTTGTATGACATGTACAAAAACCAAATAAAGGGGGCTGGAGAGATGGCTCAGCTGTTAAGAACACTGGTTGTTCTTCCAGAAGACCCAGTTTCAAATCCCAGCACCCACATGTAGGCTAACAACTGTCTGTAACTCCAGTTCCAGGGAATCCAACAGTCTCTTCTGTCTTCCCTGTGTATTGCATGACACAGGTGCACTTACCTACATGCAGTCAGTACATGCATACACATAAAATAAAAATAATAAATAAAATATTTTTAAAAGCTCAATAAAATTTTAAAAAAGACCAAAAAGAAAGAGTGAAGTCAAAGCAAGGTGTGAAGAGGCAGTGCCTGAACACACTCTAAGAACAGCAGTGGTTATTCAGTCACTTAAGCAACTCCATAGCACTCAAGAAAAAGATTAAAAAACAAAACAAAACACTAAATGTATTGCAGAAGCCAGAGAGAAAAATACTCAGAAAAGGAAGTGAAGAAAAAAAATAGTATATTTGGGGAAATAATAAGACATTAAAAGTGGTTATAACCAAAGACACAGGGTGAAATATTCAACTCTAGATGCATAAATCTGAAAATTTGGAAGTCTGAAGATCAAATGATCTAATTGAAGAAGCTAATAAAGAAAAGAACTTTAAACTTAAAATCAGCAGCTAGAAGAGAATAGAAAAACAGGAAACAATGAAAAAGAGAACAATAAAATTACCCAAGTAAAATTTAAGACAGTCAAATATTTTTAAGACAATTAAATATTAAAATTTTGATTACAGTTTCAACAAAGGCCAGAACAAACTCATCAATATCAAGAATGAAAAATAAAATAATATTTAAAAGTTGAAAGACAATGTTGTGAATGTAATTACATGAAAAAAATTTAAAATCTAGACAAAATGGATAAAATGAACAAGAACATGTTATCAAATCAGACAAAACAGAAGTTTTCAAAAGTCTAATAAGAATTAAAAATAAAATATTTATTTCAAAACTTATAAAAAGCAATATATAGGCCCACTGAGTTCAGTGGTTTACATTTAAAGCATTTTTCTGTTAATGACAGTTTAGATAAAATAGAAATCACATTTTCAAAGAACCCAGTTAATCAACAGTTACCATTTGTCTTTCTACAAATGGAGAAACAATATGTTTTTACTCTCTGGGATGGAAGAAGAACTAGTCATCCTGGAGCATAAGAAATATTCCCTGGACGAGCTGAGTGATGGTTACAGGCACATGCACATTGCAAAGATTTGCTAAGTTGTACTCTAGATATGCAACCCTCATTTTAAGTCCATTAAATCAACAAATCAATAATCAATAATATTATTTTAAAGAAATAATTATGAGCCAGGGAAACGTTAGGAAAGAGTTTAGCAACCTGAAACTCCATTTGCTTAGGTCTTTGTCCACACCCTTCTCCAAACAATTCACCTAGAACCTGTTTCCAACATAGAACCCCTACCTGAATCATCAAGTTTCATGCATACTCCTGTGTGAGCAATGCAAACCCCTCTGCAAACACACACACAATGACCATCAATTTGGACAGTTTCTATTCAGTTGTATTCCCAGTGCCACTGGGTAAAGGGTCAATCTGACCTTAACTGCTTCTGGATGCATAAGCAATAGGGACAATTGCATCCCCTGATTGAACTTCTTGGGAGAATTTCCTACTTACCATCTTATACCCATTCATAATTAGGCACACATATGATTAAAATTACATGCATTATTGGAGGGGACATATACAGTCGAGAAATGGTTGTGTAACTTAATCTTCCAATCAAAATAGAGTACTGTTCATAGTAAGCCTCTTACCAATGAAAATCCTTCATATTTTATACCTTCTAAAAGGAAATTCCAGACAACAGTCAGTGACCATGATTGTCCTCACCCATGTGGCCAACTGTCACTCGTGGGAGCATCTCTCCTTCTGATCTGTACTATCTCTTTGCTTTGACTAAAAATTCCCTGCTACTTTGCAAATATATGTGCACTTCTTTCAATTATTTGAATAAGATGTTAAGACTCTGGATTCTGGAAACATCTGGCCTAAATCCTGACCACCAGAAACAATATGGAAAAATATTTGGAATCAAATGTCAAATAAAAAAAAATTTGAAGGAACTCTGGTATGCCTGAATGTCACTATACTGTGCACATATGTACTTGGTAGCTCATAGTGATTCAACACTATCTGTACAAAACGTACATATTTTCTAACGGAACTACGTAAATAATTCTAGTTTCTGTGTTTTTCATAATGTGGAAGAGGAGAAAACCCACCTGCTTTAGTTTGCTTGAAGTGTCCTAAAGAGCAGATACCATGGACTGTGTGGCTTCAATAATAGCTGTTGTGCCCAGAGAAGGGATCTTCAAGAATTACCATAGAGTCCAGAGAGCATGCAAGAACAAAGAGTCTTTATTCGGGCTTAAGCTCGGACTTTCAGACCAAACTAACGTGGTAGGTCCGTCTGAGAGCCCTGATTGCAGAGGGAGGGAGCTTTTCATAGGTTTCAGACAAAGGGAGGAGGGGAATGACAGAGTGATATTTTGATTGGTCCAAAGAGCCCACATGTGCCAACATACTTTTGAATTGATTGGTTACAGTCTTGGAGGCCTCTCATTGGTGGGTGCTGCCCTCAGGGCTGTGGAATGTGCTGACTGTTATCTTCTGGGCTAGAGGACCCTGTTTATTCCTTATAAGGCCTCAAACCTACCCCGGGCCCCTTGGGCATACCCAGGCTTGCCTAGTCCATTACCATGAGACATGACGAAAATGGAGGAATCAGCAGTCAAAATGAAGACGGTGGAGTTTGTCCCTCTGATTCCCTCAGGCCAAGCAAATTACAGAAGTGAAAAGAGCAGTTAGTACTGAATAGGGGCAGGGGTCTAGGGAGTCTGGGGGTGAGGGGGCCAAGGAGGAGGGTTCCACAATAGCAAAGCTTGCTTTCTCACAGCTGTAATTTCTAAGAAAATCTAAATCAAGAGATCAGCAAATATGAATTCTGGTGAAGACATTCTAAAATCTCCTCTTATAAAACCACT